TTGCAAACTGTCTTTCAGCCTCATGGTGATGATGCAACAAATAGCCTCACAGCTCCATCGATTGCACCTCCTCCGGCCCAGCAACCGATGGGATTGCAAGCTGTCTTTCAGCCTCATGGTGACGATGCAACAAATAGCCTCACAGCTCCATTGTTTGGACCTCCTCCGGCCCAGCAACCGATGGGATTGCAAGCTGTCTTTGAGTCTCATGGTGATGATGCAGCAAATAGTCTCACAGCTCCATTGTCTGCACCTCCTCCGGCCCAGCAACTGATGGGATTGCAAGCTGTCTTTGAGTCTCATGGTGACGATGCAACAAATTGGCTCACAGCTCCATCGTTTGCATTTCCTCCGGCCCAGCAGCTGATGGGATTGCAAACTGTCTTTCAGCCTCATGGTGATGATGCAGCAAATAGTCTCACAGCTCCATCGTTTGCATTTCCTCCGGCCCAGCAACTGATGGGATTGCAAGCTGTCTTTCAGACTCAAGATGATGGTGCAGCAAATAGTCTCACAGCTCCATCGTTTGCGGGTCATGTTCCTTTGGACGGAGCCGAAGCTTTAAATCCAGAGGCGTGGTTAGATGGAATTCCACCGATAATCAGCGGGGCTGTTGATCTACAGAATACCCAGCTGGCGCCTTCAGTTGCTGCCGAGCCGGATGATGAAGGTGCATCAACTTCAGTTTTGGGAGTGGGGCTGCTTCCTCACTCTGAAGGCGTGGCAGATGTGCCACCGAGTGTTCTCAACCACCCGTTTGTGCGGCTACCAATTCTGGGCGATGGAGTAGTTATTAGACGTATCAAGGTGGAGAATCTCTTTAACCCGCATCGAATGAAAGTACCACTTTATCTTGTCCTGCTCAAGCTGAAAAAGTTGTTTTCACAAGCCATACTAAACCAGGAGGACGTGAACGCGCTCGTCACTGCGACAGAACACTTAATAAGCACAGCATGGCGCCAAGCACTGAAGGGTCCCCGGAAAAACCGGCCTGTGTGTGCTGCTGAAGCCTTTGGATACTATTTCTTGACATTTGATGCGCTTGTGTGTGTATTTCAACTTTTGGGGAACAACATGGAGCTTCACCTGTGGTGGGGCAAATTCATAGCTGCCTTTAACCACGATCCTTCTTCGTTTATGCGGCCCATCGGCAGTCGAGCTGGAGGCGTTCACAGGAGGTTGGTACAACGAATATGTGCTGTGCTGGAGGTCTACAAAGCAGCAAAACGCCCAGCACCGAAGGAAGTTATTGAACTCAAGAACATGCTGTTTGGCTCTCCAAGTGCTCCTGGCGACTTCAAGGATCGTAAATGGGATCCTTGGCGCAAGGATGCAAAGGGTATTTAGAAAGGCGAGTGCGTGCCTCTACAATGCATTCAAGTGCAGCAGACAAGCGGAGCAAACAGCATGTGTAGGTCGCCTGTGACAGTCTATGTGTGTTTCCGGTAGGATGCATATCAAGATATTGAACGGCCATGGACTGTCCAGCGTCAACAGGCTGAGCCAAAAGGAAAGATGCAAAGGAGCATCAACAGAGGCGAGTTTTTTCGACGGAATATCCCCAGTATCTTTAGTAAGGGTTTGCTTTTGCATCGCGGAAGGCTTGCGGTCTGATGCCCGCAGGGTTTTTTACACACTCGAGCTTCGCTTTTGAGTACCATTAGGTTGATCATTTACGTTGTCCTGCACATTGCTTTTGTCCATTAAAAGTTACGCTGTGCTAGGCAACCTGTAACGAAGTTGTCAATGGCGCAAGTTGCCTGTCTACAGCGGCAAGAGCAGGCCGATTGATTGCGAATATCGCAATCTCGTGCCCTTATGTAAGTTGAGTCTGCAAATAAACGCTTCCGCTCACCCGAAAACACTTGATGCATCCGCTTCTTGGCCAGAACCCTGTACTTTGCTTGCAAGTTGTGCAAACAAAGTCACAGTCGCTGCCTAAACTCTAGCCAGCCAACAACGCGCGGAACACCGATTCGTAGGTCATCCTATTAGTTGCAGTCGGTGAGCGCTGCAGGAAGGAGAAATGTTCTCTTAATGTTGTTTTTACAATTTAGCGGGCGCACCTTGTTTCACTGCACGACATCGCGATACTCGCAATCCTAAACGGATCTGTCCCTGTCGCTAGTCAGGACACGCGCACTTGCGCCAGGAACAACTTCGTCAGTTTGCGTTCGTGTCCTACTGAGG